AAGGTGACTGATTAATTAAATAATAAAATAGCTGCATACTTGATCATTAATCTGACTTTGTTAATTGAAATACATGCCGATTAAAATTCTAATAACAAATTAATATTCATTGCCTTTATTATGTATCATTATAAGTATATTTCATTACATTAATTTTGATGAATTATTAATTACTGTACAATTTATACAATTAAATGATAAAATGCTATAATTATGTATTGAAAAATTTATAGTTCAAAAAAGGCTTAATACTTTACCAAATAAAGACAATTTACTTCTAACTTACTTTAAATTTCAGAAAGCCATTATCAATATTCATAATATTAAAAAACCATCCATAAAATTAGCCATTAGGTTTTATAAAATATGACAAACATTTGGTAATACTAATTCGAAAAGAAATTTCAGATTATTTTATTAACATTTACATATCAAGAAGATTTTAATTCCCCCCCCCCCCAATACGTACATAGCAATATAGCAGTATTTGAGGAAAAAGGGCCAGCAGAAAGATAAAAATTCAAATTGAAATATAAAAATGACGTTAATGTTATCGTGTACACAATAGAAATACAATTCCTAATCGATCCCGTTATATTAACAAAAAAAAAAAAAAACAAAAAAAAAAAAACCAAAAAAAAATTGAACAACGTCTTTGAACAATATAATTCTGAATATTCGTGGTTGTAATGTATAATAAAAAAATAAGCACAAATCATCCATATAATTTAAGTTTATTGTCTTTCGTAAAAAAAATTTTACAACACAACAGCATTTATACAATTTATACAATAAAAATTTTATACATAATTGTTTTCATTTTCCGCTCTTATTATTTACATGTTTATATTGCAATGTTATCGCTAATATAATAAAAATAATTGCCTTTCTAGTGATAACATTGATAGAAATATTTACGTAATTAATTCCACGAAATTGGACTTTCTATAAATTTTGCCGAATATCGAATATCAAAAAATACCTTAGCTGTTACTGCGGCATTCCCATTTTTCAAAATTTACAAGCACTTCGACCATTAAGTATCCAATAAAACGGGACAGCCAAATTATCATTAATAATGATAATAATAATATTCAATATTAATAATTGCAATATTATAATTGTTATTGTTATTATCATTATTGTTATTGTTATTGTTATCAATATATTAAATGAAGGAAAAAAACAAAAAACAAAAAACAAAAAAAAAAACAAAACAAAACAAACGGAAAAATTAATTTTGCTTACAACTATCTTACAATTAATATATTACATGATAGATTACATGATACAGTACCCGCAAGCGGCGCTCGCACGGTAACTGAGATTAATATTTTATTCACTGGAGTACGCATCCCATGACGAAGCCATCATCAAGCGGCACTTTCGTCTCTTAAGACTTAGGCTACGAACTAATCTTAATCTAAGCTTCATCTTAAAGTCTAAGATTTCTTACGCCTGTATAAGGTCAGTGAACGATCGCGGGCCTGATCGATTTTGATCTTCCTTTCGTTGAAAACGCTCTCCATCTCCCCATCCCAGCCCGCAGCCCGCAGCCCGCTCCTTCCTTTGCGTTCTCTCTCTATCTCTCTATCTATCTATCTATCTATCTATCTAGCTATCTATCTCTATCTATCTATCTATCTATCTATCTAGCTATCTATCTCTATCTATCTATCTATCTATCTATCTAGCTATCTATCTCTATCTATCTATCTATCTATCTATCTATCTCTATCTATCTATCTATCTATCTATCTATCTATCTCGTGCTCTTTCTCGAGGCGACGTAATTTTTGGTATTTACAAGCGTGTGCGCAAGAGTCGTCGGCAGCGAGAACGCGGATCAAAGTCGGTGCGACGGCGCCCGCGTAGTTTTTTTCTCCTGCCTCATTTCTCCTCTCATCCTCGCTTAAGTCTAAAAGATCACTGGTTGGCGTTCGTCCCTGATTCGAGTCTGGTTTTAAAAACTAGCTGACGAAGACGTAGGGCGAGCTTCGAGCCGACGTAGCTCTTCAGCCGATCAACTGTTGTTGGATAATACTAACGCGTCTCATTAAGTAAAGCTATAATAAGCGAATCCCGAGCGCCTAAAGGGTAAGTGAGGAGTGATGCGAGTACGACGAGCGACCATTGGCTATGGGAATCGACGACCTATGAGCTTCAATTATTCATATGTAGCGTAAAAATAGGAAAAAATTTTCCAAGCGCAATGGATGTCATGTCGATGCGAGCCTTTAATCTGCTAGACGTGACTTGGTTGCGCATCTCAGGGATGACGACATTGTTATTAAGAGCAGCCTAGCATTAATCGTTATTTTGACATTTGTGAATAATTTATGTCTTGGATGTCTGGTGTACATATTTAATTTACATTTTCTTAAGAAAGATAGTATTATTATGCGGGCGGATTGCCACGTATAGCTAATGCTCGGTACGCGTGTAATCTTGAATATTAAGAAGGAAATCAATGGGCGCGGATGCCGGGAATCTCGGATTTCAGCCTCATGTGCGTTAATTAACAGTAACCTCGACTTCAAGTATAGAGTGAGTAGTAGTACCACTACGTCCTCAGCTGAGTGTTTTATATTTGACCGACCGATCATACAACGACCAATCACCATCAACCGCGTGTCGATGGTTTTCGAGTCGCGGGTGTGGCCGGAGATGGCCCAAAACCTATGACTATTAAATAAAGACTTTGGGCGGCTTAAGCTGATCTGAAAAGTCATGTAGCGCAACATTTTTTGGCACGGCTGAAGAATGTAAGTCGGTATAAAAACAGCTTTAACAATATCCGCGAGTGTGTAAATATAAAAGCGATTAATCGCGTGAGTCAAGAGAATTACATCGAAGATGTATGTATCGCGAATTGATTGAGACCGACAGAGGCGTTGATTATGTCAGCATGATATTGCGCTTTAGGCCACAACTACGACTGCCGCTGACGGCTATTTACATATTTACAACACGACGAGATTCGATAGGGTGAAAATTCGGGGCGGGGTGGGGTGACGGGGGAGAAAAAAAATTTGGGAAAGTGGTGTGGGACGAGGTGGTGGCGATGATGATGACATGTATTATTTATGTGCGGATTTATCACAAGCCTCTCGGAATGATAATGTAAGTTTCTAGCTTTAACAGAGTGAAATGGTTACTACGTGAAAGTATGCTTTACACTATTTGGCGAATTTATTTCATGGCGATTTTTTGTCGCTTTGGCGCTCCCTTTGAAGTTCTTTCAAGTTCTTCAAAGACAGCGACAGGCGGCTAAAGAAAAGAAAAAAAAGGACAAAAAAGACAAAAATAAGGGGCGGTGGCGGAGCGCGCGGGGGGGGGGGGGGAGGAGAGGGGAAAAAAATGGAGAAGGAAGCGTTAAATTCAATTTGCTGATGACCGATTATCATTAGATAAGATGACTGCATCTTAGACTAGATATAATCAATCCATTTTTTTCCATTATCAATGCATTGTTGTCCCATATAGGTTTGCACGTATTATTGAAATATACGAACACATTCATGTACATGATCTGTAAAATAATTTTAAAATAATTTATACCAGTGAACCATTGCTGCCGATTAACGAAGACAAATTTTCATTTTATACGACTCAATGGAATAGATATATAAAATAGCAATTGAAATAGTCGATGATAAATAACGGCATATAATGTTTGACGGGAATGGCATTGATTTACAGTTTGAGATATTTAAACTTGAAAGATTTAACAATTTTACAAGGAATGATTAGACAACATTTGCTATTTGCATTTAAAGATCGAATGTTAATGATGCAACGGGGTGAAAATTTTTTAAAAGATAAAGTCTTAAATTTCTTATATTAGACGCGTCTTTCATTCTTCAGTATGAGATTGGAAAACTTTTTGAAACTGCACATATCCGAAAGGGCATTTAATATTTTTGCCGAGAATGGAAAATACGTTATGCAGGAATGAAATAATAAAAGAGTAGGTAGAGATCAAAGAGTTAAACCTTAGAGAATTTATATAAATAAAAATTGACATAATTGTAGGGATACTTATGTGGTTTGGGGAAGGGCGGGGGGAGGTTGAGATTTTATAAACTATATCAAAATATATTACGCTGTTATGGACATTTTATCTGCCGGCGATATACTTGCGACTAAATAAAATAAGTATCTTGTAAGCCACACGAACAACAAATTACGTCGGAATAATTTTGTTTTTTCCGTTTTCGTCCGTATTTACAAACATATGGGCCTTTAAACATACAAGTTTGTAAAATTTAAAACAAATTTACATTTTTCGAAACTTATTTTTACATATAAATTATTGTTTAATTTTATGCTTAATTGAGCTCGATTGGAAAGACACTCTTGCCGTGAAAATCTGATATGTATTCTGTATATTGTTTGTGCGTGCCTGCAAGGGTGTACCTCTGTTTTCACGTGTGTGTGTTACGCGTACGCGCTCGCGCGCATGTTTATACACACATGCATACGTACGTACGTACGTACGTACATATAATTGTTTACTTATTTATATATTTATTTACAACATCATCGTTCTTTAATAGCTAAAACCGATTCGTTCGAATGCTTAACTACTCGAAATTCGACTTTCATGACGACTGCCATTCGATAAGAAAATACATTATAATATTATATGGGCACTTTTAATATTAATAATAAAAATAATAAACAAAATATGAAAATTAATAATGAAAAGCAAACATTATGAGATCGGAATCCATCCGGTGTGGAAAGTATTGATAAACGAGTTTGTTTTTCTCGATATATAAACGTTGCGGGCCAATATCGATGTGTGAGCGCAGCTGTAAACATAACTGAAAGTATATGATCGTTCAAAGAAAATAATCTCATTGGTCGATATTTTAAGTGGGCAAGGGACGCGGCGATCGCGCGTTCAACCACTGCAATACTGATTGTAGAGTTAAAGTAGAAAATGCAACAAAGTTCTAAGCGAAGGGGTTCGGTGTTGTAGGTACAACCGACGATTTCGTAGTCGCTTAAAATGAAAAGGTGAGGTAACTAAAATTCGTAAGCAAGTAACAGAGAGGTCGGGCAACGATACTCTACCGTAGCTTGCCCTGACGCAAATCACAATTTCACCACCACATGGGGGTAGCGGGGAAGTTAGGGAGTGTCTAAGTCGCGCGCGTCCAATATACTGCGAGGCAGCTGATCACCAGGATCGCCCCCAAGTCGAGTGCGGATCCGCTCCTCGGCGAGCTATTGAAGAGGATACCGAATCTCAAGCCAACGCTTCGCCTCAGGTGAGACCTTAGTATGGGATTTCTCATGCTGGTGGGTCCACACTGCAATAGAGGTGCGTCCCACATGCTCTTGTCCCTGGCGCCGAGGAGGAGCGTGTATTGGCCGTACCAATCGACGCTGATTCTCGCCCTGAGTCCAAGGGTAGAGGGCGCGTCAAGGGAATGGGGTACGCAGCTCGAGGGCCAGTTGGAGAGCCTCGGTGTCTTGGGGGCGCTGCCCTCGCTGAGGGCGGCCCCGCACCGCTTTGCCAGTGCCACGTCGCCGGCGATTAGGAGGCTCTCCGCCACGTGGAGGTCGAGTTCGCTGGTGCCGCTCGGCGTCATCGACTGGAGGGGTTTCTTGGTCGTCTGCTCGCGTCGCTGATTGCCGCGAAGCATCGCCGCGAAGGACTCGGCCATTGAGGGCTGGGCGCTTTGGAGGAGCTGCCGGTAGTAATCGACTTCGTCGAGGCTGCGTCTCGGCCTCGGGCCCACGCCGCTGTCCTCGAGATCCTCGACGAGGTTCGAGGCCTTGGAAGAGGCGCTCTTGGTATTGGACGATGCGAGCCTTGGCTCGTGCTTCTCCGCAACGGCCTCGCTTATCTCGCCCGAGGTCGGTAGCATCGACTCCTTTTGCATCCTTGACGGGACGTAGATGTCGAATAGGTCCTTGGCAAGCTTGGGTGTCATCCACTCGGCGAGGACCTTCTTCGTTCGATCGTCCATCTCGGATTTCTCGTTGTCCTTGCTCGGCGGCTCGTCGTCGACTCGCCTTTTGGCGCGTCCGAATATCTCGTCCTCGATGAAATCCCCGGTGCTGCCGAGGGCGGTGACGTCATGTCGGCGATGCCTGCGCGCTCGTTGTACATAACTACCAGCGGCGGTTATGCCGTAGAGGAAGTTGCTGCACCGAGGGTCGCCGAAGTAATCCCAGCGGCCAGTCCAGAGCTTATCGCCCGCGTAGACCCGCAGCTGACGGCGAAGCCACACGCCACCGGGATGACTTTCGCAGGAGGGGCTGATCCAAGAGCCGCCGAGGAGGGCCGGCAATGCGACGACCTCGTGAAGCAACGGCGGACTGTTCTCCGTGCCTCGAGATATCGCCCCACATATTGGACAATTGTGGATCTGAAAGTGGAAAGAGATTGCGCGCCCGTTTTAAGCGATCGACTTTTTCCTGGAAGTGGAATTGTTGTTGTTCGGTGCGGAGTGGGTGTTCACTCACTACATTCAAAACATTCCATCATAATAACAACAAATTCTCAGCTGTCGCAGTTTTCTTTCTATAATGACTGAATATAATAATTGAAACAACAGGGCGTGATTTTTGGTTTGTTTTTTTTTTGTTTTTTTTTTTTGTTTTGTTCTTTTTTTATTTTATTATTATTTTTTTTTTTTCACAAAGAAATGTTTATGTTACCGAAAAAATGTTTTATTACGGACAAAAGTACGTGGGATCGTGAAGATTGATGAATCTACATAAAATAGTGACTTATTATTCTTTCATATCAAGATGAATATCAGTTTTGAAATTCTCAGTTGAATATTTTGAAGTATATGGATGAATTGATAAAATCAGAAAGTTCATGAGTCACATCGATTTCTGTTAGTCTTATGCTTTCTCTGATCTCATCGGCCGAATAGACTTTAAACCAAATCTTGTGTACCAACGAATTAAGAGGGAAAAAGAAAAAAGAAGAAAAAAAGAGGAAAAAAAGAATCTTTTGTATTGTGTCTACGAGTGAATCGCCTCGTTATAATGAGAAAACGACGGACTTGGTTGATTATAATTCGTTGCGCATGTATTATTATTATTTAATTGAATGGATGATACTACATTGTATAGCACAATATAAATTACAATTTCGAATATTATTAAATTAATAGCGTGTGTTTCTAATAATCATTAAAGTCACACAATTGAATAATATTATAATTTCACGGATTTTACTGCCTCTAAGTGCTTATTATTAATAAGCTTATTTAGAGAAAAATCCAGATGTGAGCGTTTGTACTTTAAATCTCCGAAGCCCATATCGTAGCATTATTATCTCGGTATCTGGTTTCCTCTTATTACAGGAAAAACATAGAGCCTTTCCGTTGTTGAAAGAAGGTTTCGTTTATATATATATATATATATATATATATATAAGAAAGAGAAAAAAAAGTTAACATATGGGCTATTGAAACTAAATAAGAGTTTTTGAGAATTCACGTGGTAAGACCGTCGTCACGCCATGTTTTTCCGTGACAATGCCATATGAATTTTCCGTATTAATGGAAAGCAGCCGGCAAAATATAATATTTTAATAAGTCGACAAATTGATCTTCTTTTATATTCTCAGGTTCTTCGCGCTTTTTATTGAAATGAATCCTTCATAGTTTTCACTATAAATTCATTATTTGCAATATACAATGAGGCAAAATCGTAATTTAGCGTTAGGTATATCAACAAACAACCATTGCCCGTTCATAAACCCTACAGTGGGAGTGTTTATAATAAAAGCATTACAACAATCATTGCGAGTATTACTTTGAACGATAGTACAGCATACTAAACGAAAAACATTATTTTCTGAGGCCTCCTATAATGAAAGAAAAAAACACACAGAAAGAGAGAGAGAGAGAGAGAGAGAGAGAGAGAGAGAGAGAAAGAAAAATATGTCATTCTAAATGGCGGCTCGTTCGATCGTCAGTCGTTCAAAAGAATCATAGCGTCTTGAGTATAATCTCCCAACGGCATTTCCAGCACGGATTTTTCTTGAAAATTAAACATGACAATATCCGCGTCATGTTATTCGCCTAATATATTCAACATCTTCGATGCGTGACGTTCTTAGGCCTGTCGTAAAACAAACGCGGCTCGAGCAAGTCAGTCAGGGTCTCGTCCTTTTCCACTTCCACTAATCCGCCCGTCCTAATACGGCGGTACCGGCTCGAGTGAGAAATGGGAAGGGGGGTGAGGCAGGGATACAGAAAGGCTGGGGTGATAGGGGGAGGGTAGGGGAGGGATGGCAGTGGCAGAGGGGGGAGGGATGGGGGAGGAGGGTGAAGAGAACGAGGACCGCCGAGCGTGCTTAAAGGAAAAGCGCCTCGCGTTCCGAGAGCGGAGAAAGCGTCGTAGTCTCAAAGGCAAAATAATACTCACTGTGTCGGTCCTGAGCAGCGCCGTCGGCTGTAGGGAGGTGTGCTTGTGGGACCTCCTGGAGGCTTGGTCCGGAGGTAAGCTGCCGAGGAAGAGCTCGACCCTCGGCCGATCACCAGCCCCGAAGCCAGCGGATCTGAAGCCCGTGGGCCTGCGCTGAACTCTCAGCAACCTTAGCTCGTCGTAATCGATGCCGAGGGGCGCGAGGCAGTCGACGCTCCACCCCCATCATGCTCTGGTGGCCCTGCAGGGAGTTGTAGCGTGGTCCCTGCCATGTGAGCGAGCCCCCGAAGCGCTCCGGGGCCCGTTCGTAGATCAGCTGGGCGACGTAAGGACGCCAGCGTGGCTGCGGCCCGCATGACACGTTCACGCGATGGCCCAATTTGTGGGCGACCTGTGGGCACACAGGAAGTGCGCGTGTCTTGTATTACTCCTACATAAGCCTCCTACTCGTCAAGGCTTGTCGTTAACTCGTGCGTGTGTACGCTTGCAAAATCTCCGGTCATATTCTACTTTCCTTCGTTCATTCGGACTTACTCCACCTTTTCTGTATTTGCTTTTCAAATGTTCTCTCTCTCTCTCTCTCTCTCTCTCTCTCTCTCTATCACTCACTCACTTTTCGAGACTTTTAATAGAGGGGAGAGCAGAGCAGTGTAAACCTTTAATAGGGCGATCGACGATCCCCGCGAGAGACGACGGGACGACACGTCTACGTTCTCTCCCATTACTCGGTGATGCGCCCGTGCATTACGTCGATTTGCAATTAGAAACTCGCAAGACTCATTTATGGAAATTGAGACAGTAAATTTCAATAAAAAAAATCGAGATTTTGAACAGTTAGATGCAAATCTTTTAAATACTACTCTACATGGTTTTAAAAACAGAGAACTAGTTTAGAGAGTCTAATTTAGAGTTACGTTGTGTACTTCATATCAATTGCTTTAGAATTTATCAGACAGACGCAGTATGCAGACGAGTTCCTAATCAATATTTGCATCTCTAAAGATTATATCGCACCACCTTACGACGGAATTTTATTAGATCATAAATTTCGATCTCCTCCTCCTCCCCCCCCCCTTACCGCCGCTTCCCAGCAATACAAGGTACAGCAATAGTCTTTACGTATTAAAATTTTGTTATTTTCTAGAGAATAATTTATGAGCTCGCCACATTCGTATTTCCTTGAGAAAAGCTTCGGAGCTCCAAAGTGTAAGAAATTAGATACGTTTTAAATACCTGATATGAGGCACACCGCGTAATTTATATATTTTGCAATCCAACAATTCACTTAATTGCTTCCCGCTTAAAGCAATACTCAAGCTGCTGATAGGCATTTACAACGCAACAACGCCGTTCTTTTATCCTTCGAGTAATTTGAGTGAAGAATTAATTATATGCTTAATAAATTGCTCGGTACCCTTCCCATTCACCAACAACTGCGCCAATATAAATATAAACTAAATAATATCAAATAACGAGTGCCGGGATTCTGTTAGCAAGTCGTACTGCAAATATTTGAGCAACTGTGTGGCCGACCACAAGTGTCGTTAATGGGATGGTCCGTTTCCTGGGAAATCGTTCCCTGGTGAACGCTTACTCATATCCATCTACTGGAAAATCAACTACTCACTTGACGATTCAGCGGCGAGACGTGGACCGTATCCAGCTGGTAGCGTGCCTCGGTGGCACCCGGCGTCACCAGGGAGCTGCCCAACATTTTGATAACACCGCGCGTCGTCACCGTGTACGTGGCGATGCTGCACGACTCCTCGGCATAGTAATGCCGCATCAGGAGAAAGGTGCCGTTCTCAAAGAAGCTGTACTTCCTTATGATGTACTCCGGGCCCGCGCGGATCTCGCACCTGCAAACATAGGGAATGCGAATTCCGCCGTGAGTCTAACCGTCAACTAGTATGATGAGCAATAGAGAGTTCATTGGGGTAAATTTAGGGGTGAGGGGAGGGGTTGTGTTAAAAAATTATAACAGACGTGTTTTACAACGCATTTCGATTTTTGAGCTGTAAAGGTCGCTGGGAATCGTCACGCTTTACTTTCACCTCGTATTAAGCTTTAAAATGTTTCATATATCCAATCGTTCCATGAATTTTAATCAGCATATCAGTACTACTTTTTTTCACTCTTTATTAATTGTTTTATGACTTTTATTATACCAAAAAATAACAAACTTCTCCCTCGAAGTATACTCTTGAATTTTTCTTGGCAAATATCATCGTAGCCATTACAATTGAAAATATCTGCTTCATAAAAGTTCTTTATGCATTGCATATAAGTGTGTGTTACAGCGATGTGACGAGTCGTGGTTTTATAAAAAAGAAAACAAAAAAAAAAAAAAAACAAAAACAAAACAAAAAAAAAAAAAACAATGATAAGAATAAAGAAAGGACAAGTTTGGCCACAATAATTTCTAAAAATGAATTTGGAGTTTTGTGAGTTTCAAAAAAAAAAAAAAAACGTAAAAAGGAAAACGTCGTGAGAGATGAACCAAAGCATCGTTTTCCTTGATACGTCAACGGAAAAGACATAGCGGTCAAGAAGCAGAATCATCGATCATGTGGATCGTCTCCTCCCTCGGGAGACGAGGACGCGTCGTCAAGCAAGACGACATTGGAAAAACAGATATTTTTCTTCTGGCCTTGCTGAGAAAAGTGCGCCTCACTTCGTACGACACGTATGTGAAAAGACGGAGATGGAGAGATGGAGCAGAGCTCCAGATGAGCGGCCGAACATTAAAAGTAGCAGCAGGTTCGCGTCGTCGCTCCGAGGGGTCGAGTTAGAAGAAGCATAAGAAGAGGAAGATGGAGAGCATTGTTCAAGGTCCGTTTTTACGTGACGAAAAAGTGCACTTTTCGTGGAAAACTGGTAAAGAGAAGTTTTCGTGCTCCATGAGCTGGACGAGAAACTTTGGAGTTAGTAGGTTGCGGGGCGTAGAGTTGAGGTAGAATGAAGCTAGATAAGAATTGAGAGAGAGAGAGAGAGAGAGAGAGAGAGAGAGAGAGAGAGAGAGAAAGGCAAAATGCCTGCGCGCTCTCTTCTCGCTGTGTGTCAAAGAGCGCATTGTGTCCCTCATCTCCCTTTCTGTTTTCTTCTTCCTACCTGCTCGTGTGCTAGACGAGGATGCGAAAGTACACTCTCCGCGTGTGTGCGTGCCCTGCACGAGAAGGAGACGAGGATGAGGGAAAAGGAAAAAGGGACGCAACGTCCTTCTCTTTATACCTGGATCAGCTGAAACGTTCTCCATTCAAAGCCCTTGGAACATAACCGAAGTCGACTCTCACTCTCTCGTTTTCTAAATCATTTGGGAGAAGGAAAATGAGGATTGGAATAAACTCTCATTCCGTTTTTTCATATTTTTCAATTTTGTACGTATCTCCTTTATCTAGGATGATACATGCAACAATGTATTGTACGTGAAAAAAAATTTGTTTTCTTACTTGCAACTTTACAAGTTTGTTATTAGTTTAAAATCTAACTTACTGATTAAGTTTAATCCTATATAAACAATTGTTTATTATAAACGTGTTTTCTCGTCAAGACTGCTAAAAACATTATGTAGTGCGGTCATTGTAGAACTACCTTATTTAAATTATATTTTTAGAAGAAATAAAATTTATATACATAAATATAAAATCTTATCACTCAATTAAAGTTAATATTTTTTAATAAAATAAAAAACATGAAATAAATAATTACCAAATTTCGTTGCTCTGACTATAAAAATGAAAGTGAAAATATGGAATTGATATATAATAATGGGCACCACATAATTTTTTCCCCTGCGTTTATGTTTAATGTTGGTAAATATATGCATTTGAATTTTTCATCGTCGACATTGTAAGAACGTAGTGCGCTGAGGGGAAATTTGCTCTAAAGCAAACAGATTAATCTATTTATCTTTTATGAATATAAGTGAATACCACTTTTTATGTAAACATGGTAGATCATATAAAACGCTATGAGTGATGTGGGTAAAGAAAATACACGTGGAATTAAGAAAAAAGAATCAGCGGAAAGCGTTGTTTATTCATATACTAAAACTACGTCAGAGAGTAGATATGCCCATGACCAAGATGAACCAGCAAATAAAAACAGAGAGAGAGAGAGAGAGAGAGAGAGAGAGAGAGAGAGAGAGAGAGAGAAAGAGGTTTCATTATTATCGTCGTGTGATTTTTCAAAGTACCGAACATTCGCCACAACTACAAGTACGACGTTTGGCCCTCATTGTGTAACGCAACTAGTAAATGGAGAGCAGATGCAAGGACAACGCGAGCGATTATAATGCGCGCGTCCCTAAGGACGGACCCATTCGCCCTTTCAATTATCGTCTCTCGTTCGTTGCGGGATCCCGCCTCGGCAGCTCATTTTACGTGACGTGAGCGTAATCACGATCCTCCCTTTATTATTTCATCCAGGCGCTCGGAATACAATGGACTCACGATGGCGCCGCCTGAATGCAAATATCGTCGATGTCGTCGTCGTCGTCGTCGTAGCGCTTAATTTCTCAGCCGCAACTCGCGCCAATAGATAATATGCCAGACCAACTGTGGATATTTAAATCGGGCCCCTTCCCCTTCTCTTCGCTCGATTTCTCTCTCTCTCTCTCTCTCTCTCTCTCTCTCTCTGTTTTAGTCGATACTCGGACAGGTTGGGAATTTAAATTTGTATTTTTTATTTTCCGTACTCTGCCGTAGCCTTTATTAAGTAACATCTAAAGATATTTAATAGGTGCTCGCCGAAAAATTAAAAGTTCACATACCGTCACCATCTAGAGATTGGCTTTGGAATTTCGTGAATATTTATTAAGATTGTTGGCATTCAACGATTATTACTTTAGATGAAATTCATCGTTAATTTTATAATGTCCTTGTCGTATTATCGGTACAAGTGGTCTACTATTTTGCTTCAATAAATTTTTAATTTGCCAACAAATTGATCAGTAATGTCGTGAAGCAATTTTAAATTGAAAATTATTATTTTTATGAATTGCATTGAATGACAGATTTATTAATATGTCCATCGTCATATACGTAATGAGAAAAAACAACTGGCATATTAAAGCTCTTGTAAGAATCAATACCAATTACGTAGGTGTCAATAACATCTTGCCAATTTATTCCAATTGAATGGAATCTTTATCTGTTAAATGCCAGTCGGAATCGTTAAATTTATCGGGAAAAAAAAAAAAAAAAAAAAAAAAAAACAAATACTCGAACAATAAGCGAGCACGTTTAGCGATTTTAGTAAATTGTTCTTAATTATATAACTTGAGCAATATCCGAATAATTCCATGAAAGGCAACAAGAAAAAGCCTTTAATGATGAATTTCATTTATCGAGTGAAGTAAAAACTTTTTATATGCGATATGAATTCGCCGTGTTTATTTCAAGCAGCGCATTTAAAGATATAGTAGTTAAAAGAGATTGGCGAAAAAAAAATTAACGAGTAAAAAGAGCTTAAATTTTCATATTGCTAAAATAAATAAATAAGTCAACGGCACAAGACTAACTAAGAAGGGACGAGACAACATAGAACCAATGGGAAAAAATAAAATCTAGCAAGCGTACGAGTGACGGTGGTAATGCGTAAGGGGAATGGGGTAAGGGGTTTGTTGAAGGGGGCTGGGGAGGGAAGGGGGGGAGGAGGAGGAGGTTAAGGGCCCGATCGCCCGTGGCTCTCGAAAGGCAAGAGTCCGAGAAAAAGTTGAAATAACGAGATACTCACTCCTGGGATATCCAAACGGCATGGAGCCGCGTGGCGGATTCGTCGACGACCGTCGCCCGGTCCTCGTTCATGATCTCTCGGACGGCGATGTCGCACTGGTCCTCGCTTGCCTCGGCCGCATCCCACAGTGCTAACGCACCCTTACCGATGCATCCTATAACAGCCGAGAACAAAAATATGTTACCTTCCAACATCTTTTATCGCTTTTTTCCACGTCATCTCGCTCACTAGGCCGATAGTGCATTTGAACGAAATAATGGAATGGCATAATCAGTAGTTCTCGCCGGGAGGCTCGTCGGGACCTCCTTCTGGGCTGCGCATACGTATGTATAAACGCGCGAGAAAAACCGGGAGATTTACGTCTCGATCCCGACGCGGACCGTCGACATTCTTTTCCTCCCTCCCCATACCCTCCAATAATACTAACTGCTAACGAACGATAGATATACCTCGCCACCCTCCTCCTCCTTCTCACCCGCACCATCCCCCTCGAGGAATCGTCGTTTCGGCCTGTCTTACTTACTTCCGAGTGCTATAAAGTACGACCCAAGTATTTCCAATAAATAATTTTCACATTGATTTACTCCTTGGCTCGCGATCCAGTTTTTCCTTGCCTTTCTTTCACCACCCCACCCCCCCCCCGGCGATGATCGGTCGTTAAGCCATTATTATTTATTACGTAGCAATGGTTATTGTTTTTCGTGGCTTGTCGAAAGTGGAGCGCGACGTTACTCCCGAGCGTTACTCCTAGACAATCGTAGCGCACTACATATACGTAGAAACGACGAGGAGAGCCGGCGTGGGTTGGCCGGGGGGGGGAAGCAGAGGGTTGGATGGGGAGAAAGCCCCTGACAAATTAACGCCCTACCCCCATTACGAGGGCACGCGCACTCGTGGCTTCGTAAATTGGACGTACGTGTCGTTGGATAAAGGAGTCGCGAAAGTCCGCGCGAGGTGGTACGCGGCGGACGCGGCTGATCCTCAGGTAGAAGTTTCGGGGCGGCCGCCCGCTGGGCTACCGGGTGATTTAGGACCCCAGCGTATCCGCTGAGATAAATACCCTCCTCCTCTCCCCCTCGTCCGAGCTCGCTCGTTCGTCGCTCGCTCGCTCGCTCTCTCTCTCTCTCTCTCACTCCCTCCCTCATGCGCGCACACGCAACTCACGCACACATACCCTAGCCGCCCGACAGCCCGCCCCCTCGTTCATATCGGATTATCTGGCATCCAGTACCTGGACTCTACCTCTTAGCTGGCAGCTCGTCTCGGACGCATTGACGAGAGCACTCGAGTGAGTGGGCCCGCGGTGAGCGACACCGGCCAACGGCCTGAGATTTGCGGGATCCGAGTGTCGGGGAATCCCCTTTTCCGGAACTGCGCGCGCAAATTACGCGAGGCTGGACTTTTGTCGCGCGGCCCGTCTTTAAAGCAATGCTTGACAATGGATGGGATGACTCGGGCGATGTGTCGCCCTGGCGTGGATAATCAATTTGCGCTCGTTTCAGGTGCACCGCCCGGGAAAACTAGCCGAGAACGGGCCGAGTTTTGACTGACGCGCGACGATTTCAATGCCGATGCTCTTTGCGGCTTGTTACGCTTACTTACGGGCATGAATAACGTAACTGTGACTTGGTGCGTCCTTGGGTGGACTAGACGGAAAATAAATAAAGCCCGGGCGCTCGTCCCATTGTGCGCTACGCCGCGTAAACAAACGGTTATTCGGTAAAAAGCGCTTTACCGCGGCAACTAGCTACGACGACGGGCTTAGCTCGGCTTTAAAAATTCTTCCTTTTTAGCAACGACCGACGCCGTAAACATTCCGGTCGGCCGAGCTTTGCTCGCTGCAAGCTACAAGCGCAAGCTACATATAATGGATAATGCCAGTGTTGCTGGTGGCGGTTCTTTTATACGCGTGGCTCTCTCATGCGTGCACAAAGGTAATGGACAAATAAGGAGGAGAATGTGCGTTCTATTAAAAAGTAATTTCAACCCCTCCGCTGAAGATGCTGCTCACCGAAGCGCGGCGCGGCCTTTCGCTCGGCGAAACCCTGCATCGTTGAAAATAATTTCTTCTTCTTTTTGGGTTTTGTTTTGTTTTGTTTTGTTTTGTTTTTTTTTTTGTTGTTTTTTTTTTTTGTTGTTTTCTTCTTCATTTCATTTAATCATCCTCTAATAGCTGCTGTATCGAATTTGTTGTATAGGGATCGCGATAGGAAGCGAGAAAATGACGGCGGTACCTAAGGATTTTCGTGGTGCAATGACGAACAATGCCTAATACAACAGGATTAGTGGATTTGAAAAACCACATTGTTTGTATTAAAAAACAGACTCGTGAATACGTCTTGAATTTCCTGGGGAGGATTTTCACATAAGAAAATAGGGAATTGTGAAGGTGTAATTGCGCGTTAGATTTCATGACATGAAGGCAGGGAAGACGAAAGTAAACAATGATGTTCAGTTCCGATTATTTATCTTTCATACAATGGGAATTTACTAAAACTGAAATTTTAATTTATTCCACTTATTTAACCACAGTCGTAAGGCTAAATATTGAGAAAACGCGCTTCCTCCCTAAACCTATAACAATATTTCGTTACAGCGTCCAACTGGGGGCTTACTTTCTTTTTTCCTTAATTATTTATGTAGGTCGTTGCCTACCGTGTTTACTCAATAAACAAAACAATAGAGAAAGGAAAATCGTGATCGTAATATGAATTAAATAGCGAAGAAGAGGGAAATATTAAATAATGAAGGAAAAGAAAAGACGAATATCATGAAATATTATGGGAAGAGAAAAATAGTCGACATTCGAATAAAGTCCATTGCGGACTTATTCTTAATTCCCAAAATACCAGTATTAATTAACAATTTTGTCGCTCTCTTGTTAAGAAAAAGGAACGTTTTTCCTCGATTGTCATAAATTTTGCAATTCCTGAAAAACGGTGCGTGCCGAGTCGAACCGAGTTCCACCTATCGATGGATTTCATCACCTACACTAGTGTACTGGCGGCGGCGGCCTACGTTGTTTCAAGCGTAATAACTTCTGCCTCGTCCAGCCGATCGTCGAGGGACCGAAAATCAAGCGCAACAATAGCGGCAAAAATGCGGATTATCATGAAGAAATCGCTTGGTCGAGGATGCGTTTGGCTATAAGTGGGAGGTGCGCTAAAGAGTAGCAGCAGGCAGGCAAGGACTGGGAGTGTGTTGCCCCCCTCCTTCCCTCATGATTTCTACGCGAGTAAAATGAGGAGATGGAGGTGGAGTAGTTGGAGATGGAGGTGGAGTAGGTGGAGGAGGAGGAGGAGGAGGAGGAGGAGGACGACGATGATGATTATTAT